GTCCGCATCTTGTACAGTAATTAACCACTAGGAAGAATGTATGCAGTGTGTTAATTATTGAAACTGTCCTAGCGATTTGATTTGAAACTGTCTCATTGCTATTTGTTTATCAATAAAATTATGAAAAAAAAGAAATCAACTAGAAAAAAAAATTTCCTAGAAGCCATCTTCAGTTATAACCAGAAGTTGATATGATCTTTTTTCACCTAATTAAAATGCTGATTTTATCTTTTTGTTTTGGTGTACTATTATATAAAGTTAAAATGCTGAAAATAGATTTTGATGTTTTTCATGGTCTCGAACTAAAGTTTTTCCTATTAAATGTCTAACTTCAACTTGTATTTAATCTGACCCAAATAACTACGTTAGAATGTTTTTTAGACACTACCAGTAGAGACTGAAAAAGGTATAACTTCTATTTCTAGGTTTAACTGTATTTAAGAACTACATGTAAAAGGAAAAGAGATACATAGCTTTTTGATTTTTGTTTTTTTTTGCGGAACCAGGGATTGAACTCAGGCTCTTGCACTTGCCAGGCAAGCGATTATTCAACTGAGTCATCTCCCCAGCCCATAGCTTTATGAGAAGAAGAGAACAAGGTGAAAATAGACTGAGTCTATTGATTTATATTGCTGTGAGAAGATTTTAAGTATATTTTAAAGACAAATGTTTACTAAGGATAGACACCATTTTAGTGGGTAAAATGTAAGTAGCAAGTGAATTCAAAAGCAATAAGGATTTTAAAGAAAGAGAAGGATTTAAAATTGCATACAGTATATTTAGGTTCTTCCACAGTCCTAACCTTTCTTTGCTATGAATAAGATACAACTATAAAGGCGTGGGAAACAGTCCAGTGTTCTCTGAGCTGCAATTTATTTGTGGATAAATCGGACGTTGTAACATCCAGTGTTTAATAGTCTTTCATATCCCATGAAACTTACATTTTTCATTTCTAATTTTAAAGATAATAAAAAAAAAAAAACCAGAGCTTTTAGCTGGCTTGGTCACAAATACTTCTGGTGAGAAAGAAATAAATCATCTATGTTTTGGCTTAAAATTCATACATTTTAAAAGTAAAACCTTTTTTATTTCTTAAACTACTGTGCCCAAATAAATCTGTGAAAATAAGTTATAGTTAGTCTCCAGCTGCCACATGATTATTTTTTGTAAGTAACTAGGTTGCATTTAGTATAAGAGCTTATTTTATCTCTGGACTATGCCATAGTCCCAAGTTTTCCCCCTACAAATTAAAGTGGAAAAAGGGATAGTTCTCTTTTACTATTTTGACTTTCAGAGTACACTGTCTGGCATTTTGCCTTAAACTTTTACAGTAGCGGTTTATGTGATTGAAAACTATGATTTCCCACCTGTGTGTTGCCTTTTCTCTTCTCCTCCTCACATTCCTTCTGCCCACCCTTTTTGATTCAGCATGAAAAGCACATAACAACTTAGTCATGGTAACAGAAGAGAAAAATGTAGATGTCACTGCCAGTTAACCCCTCACCTCTCCACCCATCAATGACATTGAATTTGCAGGGTCCAGGCCTCTGCTTGGCTAGGCACAGAAGCACAGCCTTTCCTTGTGAGGTGTTGCTACCTGAGAAAATGCCTTGAAGGCATTCTTTTCTTTTTTCTTTTTGCCAGCTCAGTGTGGTGCCAGGGATAGAACCACTGGCCCTGAGCTTCTCTAAGCTTACCTAAGCAGGCGCTTTAGTCTGCTGAGCTTTCTTGCTGGCCCTCAAAGGCCTTCTTAAAAGTTGAACCTTGGCTTCTGTTACACTTGTGTAGCATATCTGCAACCACAATAAATTTTCTTTTTTAACTAAATTGTTACCAGTGAATTATTGCAGTGCATTAGAATCTCCTGTGGTGCTTCCTGAAGTAGAGTGCTAGGCTGCATGGTAAAGATGGAGTGTGACAATCTGCATTCCCAACCAGGGTCCAGGTGATGCTGATGTTGCTGGCCCAGGGGTCAACCTGCAAGAACCATCATTCTAACAGTTCACAAAACTTGACACCCTTGTTCCACCACAGCTATTTTAGGTGAAAAGACATTAGGAAAAAACAATTTGAAAGAACACACTTCAAGAAGTAGATGAAAATAGTTTACTTTAGGGCATTAAAATATCTAGGCTCAAAGGAATTATTATAAGACTATTTCTGCAATAAGACCACAAATCAGAAATGTTTCCATCACTAATGGCCTATAAAACTTTTAACTTCTACATAATACAAATCTTCAAAATAATGTATTTTTCAGAGGTTAGCAAATCAGGGCTGGGGAGATAGCTCAATGGCTTAAGCACCTTCCTGGCAAGTACATCCTGAGTTCAATTCCTCAGTACCCCTACCCCATAAAAAAGATGTTAACAAATCATATTGCTTGCTCTCTCTCTCCCATTCCCATCTCCATATCTCCTTCTGTATTTTTGTGACTTACCAGGTACTTTTTGTGCAGCTTTGACACTAAGACTTCCGTTGAAGTTTGACAGTGATGCTAACAGGCATGGTTTGTTAGGATGAGGCACAGGTTCCATGGAGACCACAATCTGAGTAGTATGGACAGAAATTTTTTGAAAGTAGGAAATGGCTCTCCACATGTTTTCTTGAAATGAAATCTTTTGCACTCTATCACCATGAACTTTGGGTTTAGACAACTTCCCATGGAGGTTGTAGACTGGATGCTCATCTTTATTCAACATGGTGTATGATAGGGCTGAAGTTTCTTTGAGAGGTGCAAAGGTGTGTGCATTTTTGATCTTCTTTAAAAAGTGGTTTATCTGATCCAGTTTGGTAAAACTCAGGTTCATTTTCAAAGGCTTTGATATATCCAGGCTGATGTCCGCTATAGAAGTGAAAGAAGATAAAGAAATTAGCACAGCTCTCATTAAGTACTCCTTAGGATGCCAGAATGTTGTACTTCTTTTACCACTCAGTTAACTATTCATTCAATGTCATTATTTGAAGAAACATTATCTTTAGACTACTTAACTGCCTATATTCCTGGCCAGTTACTGTTATTTCCTGACACAGCAAGCACCATACATGGACAATAAGGTCATATATTTCCACTTTTGTATTCATACCCCAAGGCAATATGAAACAGGTTTTCAGTTTGTTACTTACCTGAAACCAAGAAAAAGCACTTTTCTTACTATCCAGAACAATATCTGACACAAATACTGATGGTAATCAACACTGATCCAAGTATCTTACTGATGCGGCTTCCCATACTACTCTCTAATTGAATTTTGTAGAAAATATTTTGTTCTCCTTTTTCCAGCTGCAAAACACAACAGCCCTTGCACTGTTCCCTACAGTCTGCATTGATAGAAGTTGAAATACTTCATTCAAAATACATGGAGATTCTTAAAATCTATTTCATTTATATATCTCAAATATCAGATGTTCTCCTAGTTGCTTAGTTGACTCACATTAAAACAAACTCAGCTTATTATTTCTATTTTATCTTATTTACTCTTCAATTGCCTTCATTTTGTTTTTATTATCAGTAAGACTTTGGATTGTAAAGATCATGAAGGCAGAAATTGCCATACATCTTTATAGCCCAGTGTTCACACTGTAACTCACAAATGTATCTAGCAATAAATGTTAGAACTTAAGTGAACATAACAAGTATTCATTTCACTGGAGCCCGAGCATGTAACAGAAGACAAAATCCCAGTGCAGCTAGGAATAGTAATTATTAAGCAAGTCAAGTTAATGTTCTATATCTACTTCCCTAAGGAGGGCTTTTCTCTTTTTCCTTGGATTTTGGCACCTCTGGGTTTCTTCCTATAGGCCAAGTTCACTTTGGCACCCTCATTTTCATATTTGCCTTTCTTCCTGTTCATTCACCTGTCTTATCAGGCATAGTAAAACTTGGGAGAGTCCTGGCTTTAGCAAGTTGTCCACTTGAAAAGATCAAATACTGGAGTAACCATTATACATTAATAATATGTTCTTGTCTCCTCATATATTTTTTTTGAACAGAAAAAAATCCTTAGAGGAATTTTTTAGTGCATGCTACATAGAATAATGGGTTCTATTTTAGCATATTCAAACACTAATATAAGTACTTTGTTCATTTCCACTCCTCCATCATCTCCTTTCTTTCCTTTTATCCATCATCTTTCTCTTCACTAATAGTCTTTTACTTGCCTGTCATCTCCCTTTAAAATTTTTTTTATGTTTCTTAATTCCTCATATAAAAATGTGACATCTGACTTTCTAAGTCTTGTATTTGTTAGTATGATCTCTAATTTCATCCAGTTTCCTGCAAGTGATATAATTATATTCTTCTTTATGGCTGAGTAATATTCAATTCTTCAGTATATTCCTGAAAGAATGAAAATCAACATATGATACAGTGACTTGCCTTCCCATGTTTACTGCAACACAGTTCAGAACAGTGAAGCTATAAAAACATTCTAGGTGCCTATCAAGAGGTGCATGGATAAAGAAAGTATGGAATATATGCACAGTGCCTTGAATGCTTAAGAGAAGGGGACTGGATTCAGTGTGGTGTTTTGTAAGTAAAATGGACAAACCATAATTAATGGATTGGGACCAGGGAAAGAGGTAATAAATGAGAAGCCAAAAAATCAGATTTCTTTCTGTCTGTCTGTCTGTCTGTCTGTCTGTCTTTCTGTCTTTTGTATTTTAGTAAGGGTCTACAGGGTCTCACTACATGGATCGGACTTGTAGTGATTCTCCTGTGTTCAGCTTCCCAAAGAGCTGGGATTATAGGCATGGGCCACTACGCCCAGTCTCAATGGTGATCTCAGCACACACCCCTGAGGGGCAGGGTTGGCAAGGCATGCCCAGGATCAGACCCCTGCATCTGCGTCTTCCTAAGCAGGCAAAAAGTCAGATTTCTGACGTAAGCCACTACTTAATGAATATAGGGAAAATAGTATGTCTGTACTAACTGCTTTGAGACGAGGGACTTATGTTGAGTTTGGGAGCGCTCAGTACAAGGGACAACTGGGTTTTTTATTTGCTCTTTTCCTTTGTTACATTATTAAACATTAATTTAGCTACAACAGGCCAAGTAGTAGTTTAGGTACTCAGAATACTAAGAAACTGTAAAGTCTATTATTTAGAAGCTCACCAATCAGTAAATTATGACAGGTATATAAGCAGGAAATTATTTAAAAAAACCTACAGATTCTTGATGATAATAAAATGCACAGGACATTCTGGAAGTGATGAGAGGCACCTCACTCACGAACAGAGATCAAGAAAAATTTCCCAGAAGTGACTTAAGGACTGAGTCTAGAAGACTCAGGGCAAGTAGCCAGAGTTACACAGTTTTTGTCTGTGTTCCTCAGTCCACAACGGTACCTAAGAGAGGAAGGTCCGCATCCACATAGGAGCTGCAGTTCTCACATACATCACCCTATAAATGCTATGCCAATTCGCAGTTAGAGGAAAAACTGGATCTCTTAGGTTCATCAGGTTTTTGGGTGAATATTGGGCCAACTTCCTAGCCTAATTATATGGTCTTTTTAAAAGGGACATAAAGAAAACAACAGGGAAAGTCAGAGAAATTTGAAGTATGGGGAAGGTTTGTGATAGTTTACTGCTGCTCTGAGGATGGTGCGGGCCAAGTGAGAAAGTGCCTAGAGCACCCTTTGGGCAATCTTTGGATAACAAGTGGCAAGGAATTAGGAACTCAGTCCTACAAACCATAAGGAACTAGATTATGCAATCAACTGGACTGAGTTTAGAAGTAAATTCTAGGAGCCTCCAGATTAGGGCCTCACCCAGATGACCTTATGAAAGTCCCTGAGTAGAAAACCTAGCTGAACCCACCTGGATTTCAATTTATATGATTGTGAGAGGATAAATCTGTGTTGCTCTAAATTATATTTGGTATAAATTAACAGAAAATAAATATAAATTCCATATGCACATTTATTCATATGACATTTCCAGATTTTGATGTGAATATCAAAGAAGTTAAAAGACCTAAGCATATTTGCCTCAACTGTATCTTTCTCTCCAAAAGAAAAAACATCTAGTATAGCTTTAAAATGTATAATATGTTAATCAGCTTCTTAGCTCTTTATTTTTCTTTAAAAAAAAAAATTCAGGGTTCCAAGAAAGAAGAAACTGTCTCTCCTACGGGGGAGAATATAGCCCTCAAGTCTATACACAATAGCTATGTGAAGATTTTAAAAAATAAAGGATAACAGGTCATGGAAGAATAACAGAATTCACAATACCACTTAAACAGGAATGACTTTCTCATTTATCCTCACCCTCATCCCTAGCCTACACAGTGTCATGTGCAGATAAAGAGATATAAAGAAAAAGGCCTCTATTTCTGAATTTAAAGAATGTGAAGTACAGCTCCTAATGCTGAGAGACTACTAAAATTCTCTGCCTTATTCCTTCTTTTTCTCATTCATGATTTTTCACACCATGAAATTAAGTTTTTGGTAGAAAATTCATACCTTCTTTGTTAATATCTTCAGTCCCATAATAGGAAAATTATTTTTAGAAAAGGGAAAAATCATTCAACAAAAATTTTTGGCATTTTTAATCAAAAAAATAAAAATGAAGCAATCCACTTTTTAATGTCTTTTCTACTTTTAAAAACTAATGAAATACAGCAACCTCATCACTAGGATAAAAACACTTTTTAAAAAGCCTAAAAAGCTCTTTTTTTAAAAAACACAGACATGGTGGGAATTATGTAATCTTTTACAGTAAGTGGAAATATAAATGAATGATAAAGTGCTAGGCATACATTGTTAATGTTGTTAATACAGATTTTATTCCAATTACTAGCAAAGTCTTGTGTTTAAGAGTTTTAATTTTTTTTCATCATCCTCATTGAACTTTAATTAATAGACTATTTTCAGAATTTAGATTTTAGGAATATGCAGTTATAGCCAGCTGGGTCATCTACTTTTCTGCCAGATCTAGTTCCTCTTTATCTCTGAAACATATTCTGTATTTTTAAGTGACCAAATAAACCCATGTCTGTCAATTATTAGATTCTAATTACTCTTCAAAACTTTCTGAATAGCTATCAGGAAACAGAATGATGGAATGACTATTGAGTTAAAAGGAGATTAGACAAATACAAATAAATTACAGTTATTTTATGGTCCCATCACCCTAAAAGGTGACTTAATAGTGAAAGGAAAAGAATCACATTGCAATAATGAAATCAGACAGGGAATTCAAGCCCCAGAGGTGATTCCCCTAAGTTTATGCTAATGCACACCTTGTGGGGGACCAAACATCAATTGCTAAAGTTTTCTGAGAACGGTTCCAGATATTTTCTTATTTAAAATGTTCCAACTTTACTTGACCCATTAGTCATCATATTACTTACATTTATAATGTATCATGAAATCTATTACCAAAAATCCAATGGGTTCAATATGGCTTGTTATATCCAAATCATAACATTTGTGAAAGAAAACATTGTTAAGTGATTCTTCCTTTTGAATTTTATTTGCAAAACACTTTTTTTTTAAAAGACAAATAAGGCCTACTAGGAAAACATTTAGTCTATACATAGGTGGCTACGTACAAACAGGAATGGTGCTTTTTATTCCTCATCTTAGAGATAAATGCAAAACACAGATACAACAAATCTACAATTGAGCATGACTTTAAAGATTACAGTAACTTCAATAAAAACATTTTATTACTAATAGTATTTTTCTCTTAGTGATTCAAATTCAGGTTTTTATTACAGTATAAAGCAAATGTGCTCATAATGACAGTGGACAGTGGAGGCTGAATGTTCAGAGGTGTGAGAGCTAGAAAACTGGAAAGCTGCTGAAGACAATGAGGTCAATGTGTTTTTGATGGCATGACATG